TATTCTATTCTATTCTATTCTATTCTATTCTATTCTATTCTATTCTACATTCCAATACATTCTATTCTATTCTATTCTATTCTATTCTATTCTTCATTCCAATATATTCCATTCCATTCCATTAAGACATTGATTGATACAACCTCATCCTTTTACACCTCTTTTTTTTGTAGATGTTGCAAGGGTCAACATTAGCCTTATGTCCCTTGCATCATCTTTGTACTGTCTGAGGGTTGACCAACATGCATGCATTTCCTCTTCCAGAGAAAAGCCCGGTTGAAGCCAGAATGCCTTGGTTCAAGCAAGCCCATGAAATGGAAGAGATCAGGACCGTGTCTGAAGAACCCACGTGAGTTTACTTTTATTTTTCCTTTCCTTTTTTTTCTGATATGGAAACTAAACCACTGATGCATTTTCCTGACTGTTGGTAAAGTTTGCTATTTCCTGCCAAATCATCTGGCGTTTGAATTTTCTTAGGGTGGGTCTGGTGTTGCAGCTCAAGTCTCAGATTCTTCCCAGCAAAATTTGTTAATTAAGGCAAAAAAAGAAAAAAAAAGCCCAAAACATGGCAGCCAAAATGTGTTTGAATTATTCGTTTCAAAAGTGTCACAAAGCTTCCCGGCTATTCGAAGAATTTACATGCCAGAAAGCATTTTGTATGGGTGACTTGTGTGCCATCATAGCTCTTGAAAGATTGAGCAGTGAACTTTGCATGAAGAGGGAAGACCAGGGAAGAATGATAATGATGCCTACTGTATATGGAAATATCTGGTGATCCAAACCATTCATCTCTCCATCCATCCATCCATTCACCCACCCACCCATCCATCCATCCATCCATCCATCCATCCATCCATCCATCCATCCATCCTCTCCTTTTCTGCCTCCTCTCGAAAGAATTGATTGAGGACTTTAGTCACTCTGTTTAGGTCTAACATCCTTTGATAAATTTATTGCTAGGTGTTTTGCTTAAGTCAGAGGTGGGGAACTGTGGCCCCTTAATGATATGTAGACTTCAACTCCTGGAATTCCTGAGCCAGATATTTTTGGCTGGCTCAGGAATTCTGGGAGTTGAAGTCCACAAGTCATGAAAGGGCCAGAGTTCTCTACCTCTGGCTTAAGTCAATCAAGTACAGGAACTACATATCTAGAGATTGTAGGGAATAGATATGAAAGTAAAGTTAAACATATGGGAATTGTCAGAAAGCTGTCTTTGTCTAAATATTAAAAGAAGCTTCCTAAAATTTAAAGCTGTTTAATGATTTTATGAAAGTTCCCCTTGGCTTGGAGATATTTAAGCATTCTCTCATTTAGATCCTTCAAGGAATTGAAGTAGATAATGCCCTAAATCAGGCTGAGCTTTCCTTCTTCACATCTCTGTATCGAACTTCCCTTGTTTGATCTGCAACATCTCAAGATCCACATTGAATCCTCTTCTAGGGTTAGATTCAATAATGTATTCTGGGAAAGGATAAGTGGTTTAATGATGAAAAGACAGCAATTTGTTTCATTTCCAGGACATCAAAGCTAGTTTCTGTTTTATAGCTTTTCATCTGAATTGTCTGTGGTTTTATCAGCCTTAGCTTTAGAACCGTATAAATGCAGGATTATTGGAAAAATCACAAAGGGAAGATATGCCAAGATAATATATTAAAGTTAAATCCTTCTTCCCCTGGAGATTGGTAAATGTGCCCATGCATGTGTCCTGAATTTCATATAATGGGTGTTTTAACATCTTTTAAAAAATATTTAAATTAGAAAAATAGCAAGGTTTGTTTTCCTCATCTTAAAGACTGTAAAGCTAAGCCAAGGAAAATGAAGGTTTAACCTTTCTGGGTTTTGCTAGTAGAATGTGATGATAGTTGAAACCCATCATTATTGTAAACTTTTCTCTCTTGAGCCTTCTTTATTTACAGCAGGCTTTTCAATAATCCTTCATAAAAGAAAGATTCCATGCATCCTTTTTCCCCTTTTAATAAGCTTAAATAAACAGAGATCTTGGCTGCAGCTTGAAAGAGGCCAAGGGTAGGAGCTGATGGACGTGATGAAGAGAAGGAAGAGGAAGTGATGGGGTTTCCAGATTTCATTTAGTCGATTCAAATGTTTTCATTCATAGATTCACATTCATGCCTGAAGATTTTCACCAGATGTTAGCTACCAATGAGTGATAATATGTGTGGTAGAATGGTCACATACCTGGGCTAATGCCTACACACAGTAATGAAGATTCATTGAGGTTAACTAGAAAACATCTTCAGGATTTGTCTCCTGTTTCCCTTATCCATGACTAGAAGCAAGTCCTGAGTTTCAATTAATATTAAATTAATCCTGTGGTATATCCAGATATGTAATATTCCGTTTTTTCAAAAAACCTTTTCTTCCCCTGTGAAATAGACCTGATTTTTTCACTCTCTTGGTCATGATCATGAGCTAGCTAACTTCTTGGAAGTGAGAGAAGTTGCACATCTGTTACACTTTTCCCCCCCATTTCTTTGAAACCTCTTCAGATGCCATATCCCCAGTCTAAATAGGCCTGTTAGCAGTTCCATCATCATATCTTCTCACGGGTTTTAATGAAAGTATGGGAAGCTAAGGAAGTGTCTGGCCATTGAAGAGATGATTGACAGAATTATAACAGGCTTGGAAGGGACCTTGGAGGTCTTCTGGTCCAACCCAACTTCTGCTCAAGCAGGAGACCCTATAACATTCCAGACAAATAGCTGTCCTTTCCGGGGGTGGGATTCAAATTTTTTAACAACCAGGTCTATGGGCGTGGCTTAGTTGGTGGGCATGGCTTGGTGTTCATGTGACTGGGTGGACATGGCTTGGTGGTCATGTTATTGGCTGGGTGTGGCCAACTCAATATCACTCACATCAAGGCACGCATCTCTTCACCTGGACTCTCAAGACTGTGGAGATTCTGCAATAGTCGTAAGTGTGAAAAATGGCCATAAGTCACTTTTTTCATTGCCACTATAACTTTGAATGGTCACTCCACACAAACAAAGTACTAGCAAAGGAGGGGAAACAAACTCCAGAGGCGTTCCTGAGACAGGAAGTCTAGTCCTGCCAAGAATGTAATAAGGGTTTCTGTAAGCAATACCAGAATGTTTCCTTCCTACCTTCCTTACAGGATTAGGCTAGTAATTTCTTCTAACAACCGGTTCTCCGAACTGCTTAGAATGTTAACATCCCTTTCTAGTGAACAGGTGCAAACTGGTAGAATCCCACCCCTGGTCCTATCCCTTCTTTAAAACATTCAGTGATGGAGCACCCACAGCTTCTGGAAGCAAGCCATTTCACTGATTGATTGTTATCACTGTAAGGAAATTTCTCCTTATTTTCAGGTTGAATCTCTCGTTCATCAGTTTCCATCTTTTATTCCTTGTCTGGCCTTTGGGTGCCTTGGAAAATAGCTTGACCCCTTCCTCCTCTCTGTGGCAGCCCCTCAAATACTGGAAGACTGCTATCATGTCTCCCCTGGTCCTTCTCTTCACTAGACTAGCCATGCCCAGTTCCTGCAATCGTTCATTTATGTTTTAGCCTCCAGTCCTCTAATCACCTTGGTTGCTCTTCTCTGCACTCTTTGTAGAGTCTCAACGTCTTTTTTATAATGCGCTCTTCTTCATCTTTGGGACAGTTCTTCCCCAGAGGTGAAGTTAGCAGCAACCATATTGACATTCAGGAAAGCCCCCCCAGACTTGCTGTTTGGGGATGTTTATGTGGATTGGTGATAGGACAGGATCTCATGCTGCAATAGGTCACCATGATGTAAAAAAGATGCTGAGATTCTAGAAAGTGTGCAGAGAAGAGCAACAAAGATGATTAGGGGACTGGAGGCTAAAACATATGAAGAACGGTTGCAGGAACTGGGCCTGGCTAGTCTAGTGAAGAGAAGGACCAGGGGAGGCATGATAGTAGTGTTCCAATATCTCAGGGGCTGCCCCAAAGAAGAGGGAGTCAAGCTATTCTCCAAAGCACCTGAAGGGAGGACAAGAAGCAGTGGGTGGAAACTAATCAAGGAGAGAAGCAATTTGGAACTAAGGAGAAATTTCCTGACAGTTAGAACAATTAATCAGTGGAACAAGTTGTCTCCAGAAGTTGTGAATGCTGCAACACTGGACATTTTTAAAAAGATGTTGGATAACCATTTGTCTGAAGTGGTGTAGGGTTTCCTGCCTAAGCAGGGAGTTGGACTAGAAGACCTCCAAGGTCCCTTCCAACTCTTGTTATTCTATTCTATTCAATCCTGCAACTTTCCCATATTCTTTTTTTTTTTAATGAATGTAAGTCCAGGTAATTATTTCAGTTCATGCTTGGTGTGCCAGTGGATAGAAACTTCATTGTCATTGTGTTTGGGGAGTGGCTGAGTTGTTTTTCTTTTAATTCTCTCTATCTTAGGTCTGTATTACTATATTAGAGCTTTCTGGGAATTGAGCAGCCTATAACTGACAGAAATAAATAGATATATACACACAGACATATGTCACACATACTGTAGATATTGATGATCTCATAAATGAATGAAACTGTGAGCCATCTTTTGAAATTTCACCAAAAGTCTCCCTTAATGAAATTGGATGAGAACTAGTAGAAAAGTATCACCAGAGGACAGTTATGGGACTCAATTTTTTTTACTACCAGTTCTATGGGCATAGCTTGGTGGGCATGGCAGGGGAAGGATACTGCAAAATCCCAGTCCAAGGTGGTATTTGCCGGTTCTCCGACCTACTCAAAATTTCTGCTACCGGTTCTCCAGAAGAATACCGGTTCTGCTACCGGTTCTCCTGCTGAATACCACCTCTGCCAGAGGAGTTGGGCTTGGCTTTGCTTTGGTATGGCAGGATCTCACAATTCACTTATTAGCTTCTGTCCTTGGTGATGAGAACTGGAAGGTACCATAATGCTCTTGAGCAATAATTTTGATTTGCAAAAGCTCCATGTTAAGAAGTCTTGAATTTTGTAGCAGATCCCAACTGAAAAATCCCATGATTTAGCCAGTGGCAAGCTATGTTTAAGTAAAAACAAACAAACCCTAACATTTGTGTGTTATAAGATACAAGACACTAAAGTATGCAGGAGAAAAATTTCACTTTCAATTATAGTCCTGGCCCACTAGGTCAAGGAAAAAAGTTTAGAATTTGTTTTTGTTTCTTTGTACAAGAGTTTGTTCTGTGGTTCAGATTTTGAAACAAAAAAAAAAATGCAAAGCTACAAAATAAGTCATCATACATTATTTTTGGATACGCTTCAGGACTTAACCAGCCTGTATATGGAGTGAATTTTGAACTGCTGTCAATGCATCTATTTTTTTTTAAATTCAAGCTTTGTCGAATATTTGTGTTGGTTAAGGCATTGCGGTATACTCTTGATGACAAAAAGCCAAGAGAATCTTATTCTTGGTTTAGTTAAGCAAAACTCTTTTAAGTCTTCTAAACTTTTTTTAGTTACGCCTTTTTAACAATATTAGCATGCGGTGACAAAAAGTTCTGGATAGTTTACAATAAATAAGCATTAAAAATAAATTGAATTAAATGCCCCAATTCCTATCCATTTTTTTTCAAAGTCAGGGCTTGTCTCTTCACCTAAAATGATGCTGGACATTCTCTCTTTTTTGTACAATCTTTGGAAAGGACATTCCAAGTCTACCCAGTGACCCTTTGTCTATGATACCAAGAGCGGTGATTAGAATGCAGTATAGCAGGCTAACTGCATTCCCACTGCCAGCAGTTGGATTCTGACCGGTTCGAGGTTAACTCAGCCTTCCATCCTTCCGAGGCTCATGAAATGAGGATCCAGATTGTTGGGGGCAATACACTGACTCTATAACCCATTTAGGGCTATAAAGTAGTATAAAGTGGTGTATAAGTCTTAGGTTCTATTGTTGTACAGTGTCATGTGTTAGCACAGCTCATTAGACAGCTGATGAAACATGATTTGTCTGAGCTTGTTAATAGTGAGTGCTGCTATCTAATTTTGACTGTAAATTACAGGTTCTACAAAACCTTTGTGCAGCTGTTTTGCAATGAATGTGTGCATTGACCAGAGACATCATCTAAATGCCTTGTAGTTTAGAAAATGTAAAGATAATTAGACCTTAGGATAATTAGGTGCAGAAATATATATACTCTTCAAAATATGATGCAGGCCGATGGAAATCCTTGCCATTGATTATCTGAAGAAGGATAAGCTTTCACATTTTGCAGCTAGAGAGATGTGCTACATGGGTGGAGAGTGTTAGAGATTTAAAAGCATTCCTTTTGTCTACCATGCTCCTTCCAAAGCTGGTTCTTTATTTGTTACATTTATATCTCCCTCTTCTTCCATGAGATTTAAAACATCTAAACAAGGTTCCTAGGCAGTTTTTCCTTCATAGATTCACACCTGAAGATTTTTGCTACCAATGAGTGATAATATATGTGATAGATAATATGTGTGGTAGACAATACCATATGTATGGTAGAATACTAGAAATTCGGGTATTCTCTTGAATTATGCTTTTTAATTTTATCAAGTTTGCTGCATCAGATGCCTTCAGCCCATGATTTGATTTTTAGATCTCATCAAAAGTGACTGCATGGACCACTTATTGTGTGCTGAGTATTGAGGGCAACCGTAGGTTCTTTCTCCCTCCCCTGCAAACATTCTTCCCTGCCTAGGTGCAGAAATTGCCAAGCAGTTATTGCCACGTGACTTCCATTTATTTGAAGAACCTCTTATGAAAATGCCACTGAAAGGAATGATGGATGGAGCCTTCTTGTAAACAGCTTTTCCATTTATCTGAACTTACAATTATCTGCATATTTTGGATGTCTTCCCGGCCATTGTGAGATAACAACCCTATATATATATATATATATATTAATGGGTTAATTGAGTTTAGCCGCGATAACGTCCAACTCTTTTGAAATATAATCAGAATTTTGTCAAAGCCTTCTTAGAGATGGAAAACAAGTGAGGCGACAACCTTTTAAGTTTCAACAATGTAGGTGCAGGTTAGTTTTAAGTCCAAACAGCCCCGTGTTTATGGAGATTTTCAGTCATCCAGGTCATGGTTGTCTCAAAGATGCTTTTTTTCTTTTCTCAAGAGGCTGGACTTTCTTTTTTTCTTTGAAGACATTTTGCTTCTCATTCAAGGAGCTTCTACAGCTCAGAAGTTTCAAGAAGTTTCTTGGATGAGAAGCGAAATATCTTCAAAGAAAAGCCAAAGTCCAGTTGCCTCTTGAAAAAAGGGGAAAAAGGACTTTTGGGACATCCCCGTGTTTCTTAGGGCTAAATTAACACCCCTAAGTTAGCCAGGAAGGGTAAACAGGAATGAGAGGGGTAACAAAAGGTAAAATGTCTCTTTATACTTCACGAAGAGAATGGAGTTGAAATCCTAGGCTCCAAAGTGCTTTTTCCAAAAGGCAACTGGATTTACTTACTTACTTACTTACTTACTTACTTACTTACTTACTTACTTA